ATGATGTCTATGTCCATCATTTGTCTTTGCCTTGTTCTTTATGACCTTACCCTTTTTTGTCTTTTTATATTAAACAGCTAATCAAATAACACTTTTATTTTAAGCTACTATATACACAACTAATCACTAATAGCTAATATCTAACTACTAAAAGTTAATTAAACAGCTGATAACTACTACAATAACCTCACAACTACTACAACAGTCTAATAACTACTAGAATCACTAAAATTGCCGAACACGCCCAAAGTAGGAATAATTTTTAAAAAATTTATATTGTCATTGATTTGATCCAAAGGTGGGGCCATTGGACCCGTCTATATTTCCCTAAGTATCTTACTCTCAAACATGATTTTTTAAAAGTCCATTTATATGAATTCTTTGTTTTCAATATTCTCTTATCCGGAAAAAAAGTATTAAGTCCCAAAAAATTTTAAAATGCTTATGTAGAAAAAAAAAATTTAAAAGGATTCAAAGTAAGTAGTGAATACAAAGAGTGTAAAAACTGATGCACGTAAAATAAAAAGTAAATAATTATTTCATAAAAAATGAAGCAACTTAAATAAATTAGCAGTTAATTTAGGTATATGTATTACAATTATCACATGATGCTATATTTGACATATTTTCATTATTAATTATATATCTAAAATTATTTTAAAAAAATTACTATAAAAGTTAGATTTTAACTTCATAAACCAAGATTAGGAGTTCGAATTTTAAATAAAAAAATACTTAAAAGAAAAAAAATATTTATTCCTTGTATTTTTACAAATAAACATAGATTTAATTTGTAAAAAATTAATTTCATTTATACAGTTATATGCATTTCACAGTTAAATTACAATGTTTATAAAAAATAAAGAAATGCAAGGACACCCGACAATCAAGATTCAACACATTTCTTCTTTTTTTTTTTTTTTTCGTTTTCATTGAAGCAGCTGTGGTCTGCTCTCTCTGGTTTGAGACAGGGATCATACTGAGTTGAAATGAAGAGGAAAATCAGTCTTGATTGATTTTGTGGCTATCATAAATAGGTCAATCTGCTTTTGTCCATACTCACTAAATTTTAGGGTTTGGTACGCTAGTATAAGCCAATTCTGACACATTAATTATTAGTCGGTGACAGCTGCTCCTACTGTCAAGGACAAATCTCTCATTTAATTCATAAATATTCAGTTATTTTTTAATTAATAAACAATCTAACAATTCTTTTCAATCAACAGGAAGTCAAGAAAATTGTCCTCATTACCAGTTGAAAATTAATATAAATTGCCAAGTTTTAAATGCTATTCATTTTTTCCCAATTTTACTCCCGTCGCATCTGAATATATAATTTTTCGGATGTTTCATTATATACTAAATTAAAATTGGCTATTGTTTTTAGACTTGCACAATAAAAATTCGATACTAAATATTATATAATGATGTAATTCCGACACTTAAATTGAAAGATATAAATTGAAGATTTAATTTTAATTATGCGCCAAACAAAAAAAAAAAATTTATTTTAGAGGTTAGAAAGTTAAAGGATCGGATGCACTATTGCTTCCGATTCCAATTTCAGTTCTGATTTTATAAGGTTCAGGATTTGTTGAAAAAAATCTGAATAATTTGTTGGCAAAATAATATTATTATGTATAAAAAGATTGTCGGTAGAAAGACTAAGTCTGGATCTTGGAGAAGTAAACAACAGCTGGATTCTGGAAGAAGAATAATTGAAAAGCAGAGAATTTGTGCAAAATGGTCGCCTGCAGGTCTTGCTTTTACAAGAGAAATTGGGAAGTGAAAAGGTCTTTTGAGTTTAGACCTTTCCTTTTTTATTTTTTGATTTTTTGGGTATTATGTTTAGATTGAGAGTACAGGAATTTATTCTCAAATTCTTGTCCTTTTACAATTAAATACCAACGGGTTGACCATTGACCCAAATTAAAGTTAACAGCTAGAAAGTGAATATATTCAATGCATCACTACATGTGATTGACATGTAGACCTCAATTATACGCTATTAGCAAATTTATAAAATTTTTGTTTTCTAAAATATAGGTCGTTATGAGTATTTTAAAAAGTAATAAATAATATTTTTTCAATTCTATCCTTATTTATATTAGAGATAATAATATTTTTAAAAGTAGTTATTAATTTTGAGATAAATAATAATTTAGTCAAGTTACTTTTGATTTTGATATAATCTAGGAAAATTAATCGTTTCTTTAATTTTTGTGTAAATCTTTAAAATGATTTATATTTTAAGACAGAAGAAATAACATGAAAGAATTAATACATCATGAATAGGAGTGAGGAACTAGTTGAATGTAATCGAACAATCAAAATGAATTGATGCTATTAAGTTCAGTTAGATTATTTAGGACGAACCGAAAGGGTTTTAGGGAGAGGGGTTTAAAAACTTTTTAGTTTTACTCCTTATAATTAGTAAAATTATTTTTTGACTCTCCCTAACTGTTTGAGTTGAGTTCATTACTGTCAGCAATATTGGTTTGATTTTGCTAATTAAATACGAATTCAGTTTTTTTTTTTTTTAAATTTTTCTTTAGTTTTATTAAAAAAAAAGGATAAATCAAATTACAAAATTTTGAATATAAAACTTTAGATAAACTCAGCAAACCAATCTGCATTGGCTCTATTTCGGTATTTCTGAATGTAGTTTAAGTCGAGATTAAAAAAAAGAAAAACTTTTAAAATTGAGTTAATTTACGAATCCAACTTCTCAAGAATTCACATTAAAAAATCAGATGAAATAACTAATTAATCCATTCTTTTTGGTTAGATGAAAAAACGTATAATTTTCAAGTAGAATTTTTTTGATGGTAATTAATTCTCATCTTTTAACTTTTTACAATAATGTGAGAATAAGAGGTTTCATCAAATCTCTTTCAATAAGGCATCCGGCTTTCAACGAAAGTCCTTTGAAATTCATTAGGATAGACTATGGTTATGCTTATGGTTATAGTTTGGTCCCACTCATGAATCATAACCAATGATGGTCTCAACTGTATGCGTTATTAATTAATAAATTAAATAAAAAAACATCATATGTTAATGGTCAAAATTCAGAGACGAAATAATAATTTCTCTTTTAAATTTTGAATTCTTACCTTACAGATAAAATTCATAAACATATTCTTTATCCATTATATGTTAAATCTAAATATTTATCACAAATTTTACCCTGTTGTATAAAAGGACAGTCTGCTATACAGCTCTTATCATAGTTGAGTAGGGTTCTTGGAAAAAGACCAACAGCACCAACGGATTTTGTTCCCACTATAAACATTAATGTGGCCCCAAAATATCTATATGAATATTTGCTAACAGAAAAGGCAAAACATTACCAAAAAAGAAAAAGAAAAAAAAAGACAAAAAAGACCTTTTGAGTGTAGGAAATTATTTGTCAGTTGGGGTCCGTAGTCGCGCTTTATGGACCAAACTAATAACAGTAAGGATTTTTCAAAAAGTGTTTCGATTTTATTCTTTTTCTTCCGGCGTATGGTTAGAAATACTCTCATTTCAATAAAAAAACTCTGTTTTCATTAGTCTAGTTAACAAGTGAGGCCATAAATATGTCTGTCCTTGAAGTTGAAATAGATAGATGACTGTGCGTCCAGCTTTTCCACTTGTATCGTAATGGAAGAAACTCAACTGTACATGTAGTTCTATCCAAATATCTATTTATTTTTTTAGAATATACAATATATTTAGTTGACTAATGCTAAAATGATAAAAATATATTTAGTACAGAAAGATTATATTATTTAATTTTAGATAAATTTAATTGTAAAAATGTATTTGTAAATTAATTTTTTTTATTTTTTAAACTAATTTATTTTTGAATATACAGCTCGTTAGCCTCAATTAGAATTTCTGAACTAAATTTGTATGTATGTTTGTTTTAGTTGTTAGAAAGTTACCTAATAACTTTTTAACTGTCAATAACTATCTTAACCCGTTTGGCAAAAAAAAAAAAAAAAAAAATACAGCTCGTTAGCCTCAATTAGAATTTCTGAAAACTAAATTATTGTTATGTATGTTTGTTTTAGTTGTTAGAAAGTTACCTAATAACTTTTTAACTGTCAATAACTATTTCTTAACCCAGTTTGGCAAAAAAAAAAAAAAAAAAAATTGGCGGCAACTATCGATTTAAAATAGTTGGACTAATATAGATATTAGGAAAAAATAAATAATTAAAAAATATTTTTCATATTCTATGTGGATTATTTTATTTATAATAATTTTTTTGAAAAAAAAAAAAAAAAAAAAAAAAAAAAAATTGGCAACTATCGATTTTAAAATAGTTGGACTATATAGATATTAGAAAAAAAATACTAATAAAAATATTTTTCATATTCTATGTGATTATTTTATTTATAATAATTTTGAAAAAGATCAATAAGTATTAAATATTTTAATGTTAATATTTTTATTTATATAGCATATTAAAACAAAAAATAATATATTCATCTTAAGATATAAAAAAATATTATACATTATAATATGAGTAAAAGATAAATTATATCTTTAATAATTATGCATCTTACCTAAAGTTGAAAGCTCTACTGAAATCGAGCTTGGCTTGATAAGCCAAATTCGAATTTGAGCTTGTTTCAAATTTATATTAATGAATTTAATATACCTTAATTGTTGTACATTTTTATGAATTTCAAATTATAAATTTTATCAAACTTAATAGTATTTGGATTCAACATAACTATCCCTTTAATTCAAAATGTAAAAATTTGTAAAGAAATTTATATTTGCCTTAAAAATGAAAATAAAAAATTAAGGAAAATATATAAAAAAAAAAATCTAAATTTGAACCCTCCATCTCCAAGGTGCGTATCATGGTTCATAAAGGGCTACAAGATCTGGGCCTCGTTAAGGATCATATATTAAACACTAGATGGGCCTTTAGATTACAGGCCGTCTTGGGACAATAATTTAATAATAGGCCGAAGCTAACCGACAAGAATTTATATATGTTCTGTTTCGATGTGCAAAAAAGGTCTGCGAATACAGGCAGAGACTGGCTTTGAGAAAGCGGAAAGATGAAACTAACATGGAAGAAGGACAACAAGAGCAAGAAACGCCCTTTAGCTGCCATATCAAAGTACCCAAATCTCCCTTTTGATCAACAACAAGATTTTGAAGAATCTATAAAGACCGATAACAAGAACGAGGACAATGGTAATAGCAAGCAAGTGGTTACTTCTAACGAGCCCTCGAATTCAGACTCCGATAGTCAACTGGCCGAGTCATTTCAATCACAAGGCAATAAGCTAGCTGAGGTATTTTATTTAAGTTCTCTCTTTCTCTGCAATTAGCTAATTATTTGATTTCATTTGTCGGTAAAAGTTAGAAACTTTTGGCATTTTTGGTATATTTGGAGTGGGAGTAATTGAATTGCTTATTCTTCCATGAGAGCCAGAATTTGATGAAGGGAGTTAATTCCCTTCACGTTAATGATTCTCATATTCCCAGTTGCCCCAATTTTTGCAGTTATGTTATTATTACTCCTGTTACCTTTCTTATATGTTTATTGATGGTATCTGCTCCTTATTTGATATGCTACTACAGCTGTTGCAAGACATTGTTCTACATATTGTGCTTATCCAGCCTAAGTTACAGAATTTACATGGAGAGTTCAGAGTTATCTTCCAAAGAAAATGGTCCCTTTTCTGTGCTATTCATTTAAAACTAGTGAAAAATGAATTGACGTTAGTGTTGATTTGATGCATATGGAGGAGTCACTAGCATGGCCCATTGCTTGAGAAACTTTTCTCTTAAAGTGGATGATCGATCTTGAAATTGAGGATCAAATTGGCTGTTAAATTTTTCTTTCCCCCATGCACTTCATGCGTGGATTAGGTACTTCTATTAGTTACATGATTTAACAGTTTATTATGAAAGTTTTGCTTAGACGTTAGGCAAGGAATTTGATTTTTTAAAGGTTGCGATTTCATTGAAAAGGAATATAACATTGGCAAGAATGCAAAGATAAAAGATATGAAGAAACTGGGTTGAGAATCACAAACAGTTTGCTTGCTTTAGATCCTCTCCACTCCATATTGATATCAGCCTTGACATTCTAGCTGATTATTTAAAATGAAACATGAATCAGTGTTGCCACATTCTACAACAATAACAGCAACTAAGCCTTAATCCGAAACTAGACGGGGTCAGCTATATGAATTCTTTGTCCATAAAAGGAAGAATAGGCAAATATATATATAAATAGATAAGAGTAGATAAACAAGCATAGGTTGACAATTACAAAAGGCCCTTATTCCTAGATTAATTAGGATCTGTTATATGAATCTTTTGTCTCAATTTTATTCTGTTTCTGGCTACATTGAGACCCTAGATCTTTCACCACTAGTTTGCTACATATGGTTCTAGTTCTACTGCTTCCTCTTTTAGCACCCTTTACCACCAAAATATTACATTATACAAATTGGAGCACATGAGGGTTTATGAACCACATGGCAAAACTATCACAAGCATACTTCCCTTATTTTATCTCCAACTTCTGCTACTTGTATCTTTTGTTGATCATTCTTAATCTTGTCCATCTTGTATGACCACACATCCATCTTAACATCTGCATCTCTCCACTTTCATCTTATGGACATGCTGGACATTCGGTGCCCAACATTCACTCCCACATAACATTGCAGGTTTCACTGCTGTTCTGTAGAACTTTAACTTTCATCTTATTTGGTATCTTCTTTATCACATAGTACACCCATGGTACTCCTCCAGTTCGTCCATCCTGCTTGAATTCTATGGTTAAATCTTTATTAGTCAAACTCCCTTTCTTGAGAATGAAGCCAGGACACTTGAATGACTGCACTTGGGCATCATCTTACCTTCCAATGAAATCCAGTGTCCCTGCTTCTTTCTTATGTCAGACTCGCAGTGCATGTGTGTTCCATCTTGCTTCTGCTTAGCTTAAAACCCTTATTTTGAGAGTGTTCCTCTTTAATTTCAACTTTTTGTTTAATCCTTCACTTGTTCCATCAATTAGGATATTGCCATTTGTTAGTACATTTAGAGGATGGCTCCTAGCTGAACTGCCTAAAGGCACTTGTATTAAGACATGATGAACTTGCTTATTTATGCATGTTGACTTTTTTGATAATAGATTAATATGATATTGTTCCTTGTTGGACCTGTAATATCAGAATCTTATGGTTCATGGTTCGAATCCTACTGTTTGATTCAATTTTCATGCTAAACGATTCGAACCTTATGGGTGAATTGGAATTGATTGTGAATCTTACGATTCATGCAGCTTGAATTTTACGATTGAAGTCGATTCTCATGCCCAACAATTCTCTTATCTAGCAAAACAAGTGGAAGAAGTCGATGTAGAGAAATAAGAGCAAGAGAGTATAGTTATATTAGAAGATGAAGATAATGAAGGGCTTGAATTTGGAAATGATAATGAATAAATATGGATTTGGCATAGGAAATTTTAATGGCTTGCTGCATCTGTTAATGACTTCAGATTGTCCATACTATGTGCATGTGTAGTTCTCCTTGTATCCATGCCAATTGCCAGTTGATATTGCAAACAGAAATAAGTTTCTAAATGGTTGCTGAACATGTGTCCATGTGTGTTAGCATTCAGATTTTCTTACTAGCTATAATTGTTTGGCTGACATACATTTGATTTGAAGGACGGAAAATACCGTGAAGCACTTGGGAAGTGGGAGGCTGCTCTAAATTTGATGCCTGAAAGTGCTGTCTTACATGAACAAAAGGCACAAGTTTTACTTGAAATTGGAGATGCATGGAATGCATTGAGGGCTGCAACTCGTATGTATCAATTGCTTATTCCATTTCTCTTTCTTCTTTTTTTACTTTCTCATGCATTCAAGTAAGCTTAGTAGTTTTATAAATTGATTCTGATTGTTGAACCATCAGTTTTAATGGGAAAAAAGAAAAATTAAGAGCTTTCTTATGCTTACTTTGGATTTCAATTGATAGGGGCTTCTGAATTGGAACCCTCCTGGGCTGAGGTACAACAATGCTATACTCTCATGTGTTTTGTCCTTCTACATACATCATATGTATATCAAATGCTACACTTAGTATTGTTTTCTTTAAATTATAATTTCTTTGTTGAATGATTCACTTTGTTTTTGTTTCTAGATGACACTAGTTTTATCAGTGTGTGACATTTGGTTGCAAAATCAAACTTATTTATTGTTTCCATTTCATACTGTAAACTAAATATATCTGACTTAAGATTCTTGCAATGTTCCTTGTTACATGTAGTTGCTTTGTCTGGCCTGTCCTTGAGCGGAAATAACTCAAAAAAAACTTAAAACTTAGCCATAATCTTAAACTGGGTGGGATATCTGTTGCACGAGTGCATTTCTTACATTTTGCCCTAAGGTCATATTCATGACATAGTTTAAAAATCAAATCCTCTCTAATATCCTTGACGGAAGTCAGTATTGGTCCCACTTACTCATTCCTCCCTTTCTATTTGAATGTTTTCTTCTTCTTCTTCTTCTTCTTCTTTTTTATCAATTATCATTGATCCATCTAAAAGATTGTGTTGCACAATGTCTAAGAACCTTAAAACACCTTCCCTCAACTTTTGTCAATTATCACCACCTCCTCCACCTTTTGTCTTCAGTCCTGGCTTTATTTTTTTTAGTATTATTCATACTCTCAAGACACCTATGGACATTTTTATTACCATGTCTTGGACATCAGAGAAAAATGTTGGAAACTAATTTGTTAAGACAGTATTTAGGATACTAGATTTTAGATCACAAACTTTATGACACCCAAGTCCCTAGCTTATTTATTTGTTGGAATCTCAACAGGTTGACAAATGAGACTAGTGTGTTAGAAGGCAGTTCCAGCTAATGATGCAGTTGAACATTCAGAGATTCTGTATCATTATCTCATTAATCACTTTATCTACATGTTTTTTTAGTTCATGTTATAATTATTCTCCTTTTTTTTTTCCCTTCTTTTTTTCTGGCATTGTGATATTTTCAGGCATGGGTCACTCTTGGTAGAGCACAGTTAAACTTTGGGGAGCCTGATAGTGCTATTAAAAGCTTTGATAGAGCATTAGCTATAAAGGTATGTTTCTAATTTCTTGAGGGCTTTTTACCCTTTTGTTTTTGGACCATTTTTGTTTGTGGAATTTGGATCTGTAACATTTACCCTGCATGCCTATATTTGATTTGAAGTGTAATAAGTGAACAAAATGAACAATCTAGTTATGTTACGAATGAAGTATCTCTTATAATTCAACTACTTGATCATGCTATGTTGTGTTTATCCACTTGGGCAATCACGAGGTTTTCTTGATTATGCCTTAGTCTGGATTCTTGCTGCAGATCACCTGGTGATGTGCTTAGATCAGAGAGTTTAAAAAGCCTTTTTTCTCCATCTGCAGCCTGATTATAAGGAAGCTCAAGATGACAGACATACTGCAGTACATCTTGTTAAAAGGCGAAAGCAGCTTCATTCATCAGGCTTGAGCGCTGATAAAAGTCGTTTTCTGGTTGGGGACAAGGTTGAGAGCTCCTGAAAGATGCACCGAAGTGACTTAAACCATGGATTAAATCCTCATGCATTGTGTTGAAGATTTTGGCTGCTGTGAAAAGCGAGGGAGAAGGGAATGGGCAAAGGAGGAAGCAACCTGGACTTCAAATCATGTTGTATTGTAGTTGTATAGAATTTATCATTCGCTATATGGAGATCTGTTGAGTTGGAACTGTTTGTGGTGGAAACTTAGACGGCTATAGCTGAGAGTTCTAGCAGCTATAAGCCGCGGATTAGAATCTTACCAAATAGTTCTAATCCAGTTGTTGGGCCAAAATCCTTACCAAACACTTTTAATCCACTTATTGCTGGGCCCCAATCAGATATCCACTGCATGAAAAAATGGAACCAAACACCCCTTAGTTATCACCTTCATATGCTCTTTGTGAATATAAAATTTAGTCAACAGGATTATTTAACATGGTGGAATCAATTGTTCCTACGGCAAAGGAGAACAATAATAATATTTCTTCACAAATTATGCTTAAGGAATATATATTTATGTGAGTTCGAAGTCCTGGTGGGAAAGAAAGAACCAAAAAGGAATTGAAGAGGTGTTGATTGATGTGGTAAGTAACATCAATTCTCTATAATACTGCAATGGTTACGAAATTTCCATTATAAAATGAATCAAGCTATTATAGGGAAGCAACAAACTCAAATAGCATTTATTTGGAGTTTTTCCGTGGGCCAACAGAGATCTAATAACAAACTCTAATGCCACTTATTTGATCTTCTATAGAAGTCATTTTCTCTAGTAATTTGACCCCCTAGTTCCTAGTAATTTCGTTCTCTAGTACCTAAGTTCTTGTGCAAAAAACTTTGCCTCTTGTATATCATTCTACTTAAAACTTTCTTACAAATAAAATTCCATTCTTGTCTCTCTAATATGAATTTTTTTTCCAATGAATTAAGGGCTTAAAGCTTTCTCTGGAAAAAAAATTAAATAATATGTAACTGCAAATTGAGTGACATTGCTTTATAACGTGTAGATTAACAGAGCACTCATGGACATATTAACATTATAAGTAGATTGATGTTGTGTTTTAATGGTCAATAATCATGTCCGAATTCGTTACCTTAACTGCAAGGAGAGGATGCCGAAGGCAAGGCTGGAGAAGTTATTTTAGAGGAGAAATTATGTAGTTATTTTAGAGGAGAAATTATGTGTTTTTGGGATCTACAGATTGAATAAGTTCTTTTGACTTAACAATTAATATGAAGTAGAGTCAAGAACAGCGAATCTCTTTATGATAAACACATTCATTTTGCGAATTAAGCAGAGTAAGTTATAATGATCCTGCTATTATAAAAAATATGCTAGACACGCTCAATTGAGTGAGAATTTTGAGATAGATCAAAATAAATCAAAGCTGAATTTTAGTGAGAAAGTGTAAGACGAAGCACGCATAGTATGTAAACTAATACGCGACTTACCCATTCGGTGACTTTGGTACCGAATGTTTCAAAAAGAAAATGGGTACACTCGGGTCTGTTAAAAAATTTATTGAAAATTTCGTCCCTACTCAACGGGTGGGTCTTGCAGCCAAGCTCCTGGGCCCCTACCATGCTTCAGCTAGGCAGTTTGCACTGCCTATTCAAGATCTTTTTCGGTTTGAAAAAAAAATAGATTTTTATTTTTTACATGAATCCGTTTGATTCATTTAATTCTGGCTGGTGTCTTGATAATCAAAGATTGACACACATAAAAATCGGTAGTTTTTACTAATTAACTACATCATATTGGATGATAAATTAGTAATGGCTTAATCAGTTCCATAAATAGCAACACTACGCAATGCAACAGTCTCCAGAGTTAGACCAGGGCCAAATCCTAACAGCACACCCATATCCAATCCTTCTCCAGTAGTAGCCTTTCCTTCCAGTGCAGATTTTTTTCTCACCTCATCAAGAATGAAGACGACACTTGGACCCCACATATTTCCATATTCATTCAACACGTGACGGCTTGCTCTAAGCCTCAGTTTAGAGTTTAGACCGGCCAAAATCCTAACAGCACACCCATTATCCAATCCTTACTCCAGTAGTAGGCCTTTCCTTCCAGTGCAAGTTTTTTTTCACCTCATCAAGAATGAAGACGACACTGACCCCAACATATTTCCATATTTCATTTCAACACGTTGACGGCTTGTCTAAGCCTCAGTTTTTGTTGGGAAAAAATTACCGCAAAATCCCAAATTAAGTCAAAAAATAACACACAATTTGATAACGGAGTCGGCCATCTCGCCTACGTCTCGGACTGCCACAGATCTTTTATAGGCGAGAAAAATAAATAAAGTGTTTACATACACTTCACAACTCTTTTTCCAAGAATACCCGAAAAAATTAAGCTTAATTTTTTCCTTCTTGAAAAATCTCACGTATTTTCTCTCTCGCAATTGCTCTCTCACAATTGCTTCACTCTCTCTATCTTGGTGTATATAGATCAAATTCTAGATGCAAATTCTCTCCTCTATTTATAGGCGAGAAAATGCGTGAATGAGTGAATGAGCTATGCAATTCAAATGCAAATTGGACACCAATTCCTAATTTGCACAAATTAAACATGTGCCACCGACCTTCATTATTTTCGTCCTGCCTTTGTTGATTAGTAGAATACAAATGCAGCCACATGTTTGTTTTATTTTCAACCTTTGCCAACATACTTTGACAATTTATATTTTAACTTGTAAGATCAATGTCAATGATAAGTTTCCGTTCGAGCCCGTTGAGTACGGTTGGACCACCAGGGTGAACCACATAAAATATTGAGTTCCAATCTTTATTGCTTCCAAAAATTTCAGACAAGCATTGCACAATATTATCTTCAATAAGTTGAGGCACACTTCGAGACAGGTAATAAGATAATCCCATTTCACGAGTGTGTCCCACTATTCCATTTTTTGAGTCCGGTATAAGTTTCTGAGATGCAAAAAAAACATGGAACAACGGGCGCTCCGAAGTGGAAGGGGTAGAACCAACTATTATTGCTGCAGCTCCATCGCCAAAAATTGCTGAGCCAACAAGAATATCCAAATGGGTATTTGAAGGGGCATGAAAACTCACAGTCATGCGGAGCAGACGATAAGAATTCGTGAATCAACATTATTTTCAGCAATATCTTTAGCAAGACGAAGAGCTGCAGCTCCTGCAAAGCAACCTTGTTGATACATCATGAATCTTTGCACAGAATTTTGAAGTCCAAGAAGCTTGACAAGCTCAAGATCTGCACCAGGCATATTTACACCTGAAGATGTGCAAAATATAAGATGTGTAATCTTCGATATAGGTTGGCCCCATTCTTGTATAGCCTTCGTAGCTGCTTCTTCACCTAGCTTGGGAACTTCATGAACTAAAATTTCTTGACGTGCATCAAGAGATGGAGCCTTGTAAGTTGCTATGCTGGGGTTCTTCTGGATAATGTCTTCAGTCAGTTACATATAACGTTTCTTTATCTCTGATTTTTGACCTGTTACCAAAAATATGGAAAGATAAATCATATCTTATATCAACAGAAAACAAACGAAATCAAATAGGTTATCAGGAATGATTTGATCATTTATTGAGTAATAAGTTACAGAGATTAATGAATTAACGTAGTGATTTATACTTACAAATACGTTTGAACTTCTCCTTTAATTCTTTCAGGTGCTCGCTTTGAGTGACTTCAAAGTAGAAGTCTGGATAGTTTGCTTGGTAGATAAAGTTTGGTGGATTTGCAGTACCAATAGCTAGAATTGTGGCTGGACCTGTGGCTCTACGATATTCAAAGACGCCTTCCATTTTCACTAGCTGGATGCCTTTAATTCTCTTCAAATTGGCCCTTATTAATTATATTATTTGCTTGGAAAATCAACTTAGCTAGCTAAGCTGAACTAAAGTTTAAATAGCAGAGTTTGTTAAGTAATTCTCTTCAAATTGTCCCTTATTAATTAATAATTATTTTGCTTGAAAATCCACTTAGCTAGCAAGCTGAACTTAAAGTTTTAAATATGCAGAGCTTGTTAATTAATATCGTGCCTTAAATCTTAAATTTGCTTGGTGAAATTGTAATTAATAAGGCTTAATATGTATTGACAGGTAATGGTGTTTTGTGATTTTCAGAAAAAAAAAAGCGTATGTGAACGAATGAAGGACCAATAAGCTGAAATTGAAAGTATAAAATTGAAGTGATTGATTGAATTTTAATTGGGTTGGGTCTTAACCCACTTCTCAACATCAAGCCTTAGCTGGCTAGTTGGGGACTAGAAGTTTAAAATAGCATAGTTGTTAAGTAAATTCGTGCTTTAAATTTAAATTAGATTGTGAAATGTAACTAATCAAGGCTTTACTTTAAAATGTATTGACAAGTAATTGTTTTATGATTTTCGAAAAAAAAATGGTTTGTTAAAATGAAGACAATAACTAAAATTGAAATAAAAATTGAAGTCGATTGATTGAATTTATTGGTTGGATCCTTCCGCTTGCTCAAATCAACTTAGCTGGCTAAGTTGGACTAAGGTTTAAATAGCAGAGTTTGTTAAGTAAACGTGCTTTAAATTTTAATTACTTGTGAAATGTAATTAATAAGGCTTTAAAATGTATTGACAAGTAATTGTTTTGTGATTTTCGAAAAAAAAAATGGTTTGTGAAAATGAAGACAATAACTGAAATTGAAATAAAAATTGAATAACTGAAATTGAAATAAAAATTGAAGTGGATTGATTGAATTTATTGGTTGGGTCCTTCCACTTGCTCAAATCAACTTAGCTAGCTAAGTTGGACTAAAGTTTAAATAGCAGACTTTGTTAAGTAAACGTGCTTTAAATTTAAATTGATTGTGAAATGTAATTAATAACGCTTTAATATGTATTGACAAGTAACTGTTTTGTGATTTTCAAAAAAAAAAATGGTTTGTGAAAATGAAGACAATAACTGAAATTGAAATAAAAATTGAAGTTGACTGATTGAATTTATTGGTTGGGTCCTTCCACTTGCTCAAATCAACTTAGCTGGCTAAGTTGGATTAAAGTTTAAATAACAGAGTTTGTTAAGTAAACGTGCTTTAAATTTAAATTGCTTGTGAAATGTAATTAATAAGGCTTTAAAATTTATTGACAAGTAATTGTTTTGTGATTTTCGTTATGACCTGAAGTAATTGTTTTGTGATTTTCGGAAAAAAAAAAAGTTTGTGAAAATGAAGAAATAATTTGTGAAAATGAAGACAATAACTGAAATTGAAATAAAAATTGAAGTTGATTGATTGAATTTATTGGTTGGGTCCTTCCACTTGCTCAAATCAACTTAGCCGACTAAGTTGGAATAAATTTTAAATAGCAGAGTTTGTTAAGTAAAGGTGCTTTAAATTAAATTGCTTGTGAAATGTAATTAATAAG